GAGTTGGTTGGTTTGTTTGGTTTTTTTTTTTTTGTTTTCGGTAGTAAACAAAATAAAAGGAACGGAATCATTTGAAAATAAATTCTAAGCCCTCTGAGCGAAACTAGGGAAATCCTTAATACAAAACGCCCAAAAAAGGATTTGCTTCAATTTGTTTTCATTCAATCGTCATTTGGCTTTTCCCTTTTATCATTTCATAATCTTTTCTCGTTTTGTCTTTGTTTTTTGTTTTTTCTTCTTATTTTGAAGTGAGTATTTTTTTCAAAATATATTTCTTATTTCTAAGAAGCCTTACAAAAAATGGCCGCTTATAAAAAGAAAACGGTAGAGAGACGAAAGAGGAAAAGAAGAGTAAAGAAAAAACGAGTGGTTAGAAGTACAGTGGGTGGGTTGTTGAAAAGGAGAAAAGAATAAGAGGAAGTATACTGGAGAAAGAGAGTGAGAAGGGGGAGACAGAAAGAAAGGGAAATATATTAAAAGAGAAAAGGGACAAAAGAAAAGAAGATAAGAATGAAGGGAACGCAATTGCAAAGAGATTGAGCCAAATGAAAAAAAAACAAACAAACGAAATGAAAAACATCAACGGAAAACACAATGAAGTCGTGAAAACGAGAAAGAGTTACAATATGGGGTTAGGGATGTAAATAAGAAAGAAAGAAAGAAAGAAAGAAAGAAAGAAAGAAAGAAAGAAAGAAAGAAACGAAGAGAAAAATGACAAAAGCAAAAGGGAAAAAAGGAAAAAGTGAAAGAGCTAAAAAGAAAGAATATAATGATGGAGATGACAAAAGAAATAAAATATATAAAAGAGAAATGTAATAGAAAAAGAATGAATAAAAGAAAAGTGAAAAAGGAGAAGAAAAGACTGGAAGGAGAAAATGACAGAAAAATATAAGAAGTAAGTAAAAGAAAGAGGAAGGAATGAAGAAAAGTGATAAAGGGAAAACGAAAGAAATAAAGAAAATAAAAACAGTAGAAATGAGAGAACGAGAAAACGTATGTGTGAGAGATAGAAAAACACAGCAATAGACAGTAAAGAAAGAAAGAAAGAAAGAAAGAAAGAAAAAAAGAAAAAAAGAAAGAAAGAAAGAAAGAAAGAAAGAAAGAAAGAAAGAAAGAAAGAAACTGATAAACAAAATGACAGGGTTAAAAAAAAGAAATAAAGGAGATAACATTAAGATTGAGGAAAGAACACAAAGAAAAAGCTAAAAAAAAAGAAATAGCTTTCATTAAAATGTAAAATAACAAAGAAAGAAAGAAAGAAAGAAAGAAAGAAAGAAGATATTGGGAGGAAGTCAAGCAAACGAATGATAAAAATAAAAAATAGTATAACGAACCAATAAAAACCAAAAAATACAAGAAAAAGAACGAACGGCAAAGAAAGAAAGAAAGAAAGAAAGAAAGAAAGAAAGAAAGAAAGAAAGAAAGAAAGAAAGAAAAAAGAAAGAAAGAACGGCATAAGATCTTGGGAGGAAGCCAAGGTAACGAATGAAAACAAAAATAAAAGAAAAGGAATAAACCTCGAAAAATTAAAAGAATTGAAGAAAGAAAGAAAGAAAGAAAGAAAGAAAGAAAGAAAGAAAGAAACTGATAAACAAAAAGAGAAGGTAAAAAAGAAAGAAACTGATAAACAAAAAGAGAAGGTAAAAAAGAAAGAAACTGATAAACAAAAAGAGAAGGTAAAAAAGAAAAAGAGAAGATAAAATGAAGTTTAAAGAAGGAACAAAAAATAGCTTTAATTAAAATATAAAATAGCAAAGAAAGAAAGAAAGAAAGAAAGAAAGAAAGAAAGAAAGAAAGAAGATATTGCGAGGAAGTCAAGAAAACGAATAATAAAAATAAAAAATAGTGTAAGAAACCAATGAAAACCAAAAAATACAAGAAAAAGAACAGCAAAGAAAGAAAGAAAAAGAAAGAAAGAAAGAAAGAAAGAAGGAGGGAAGAAAATGCAAAGAAAAGAAGATAGAGAAAAGAAACAAGAAGCAAAAGATCATTAAAAGAAGACAAAGGCCCAGGACCAATGGTGATAGAGTTTATTCGCCGATAGGACGGACCGTCTGTTGCTTTCTCTGTTTGGAACTAATTAAAGATAGTAAGAGGGGGGAGGGGAATAAGAAAGCAAACACGTGTTTTTCAAGTTCTCTTTCGAGATGTTACGTAAAAAAAAAACAAAAAAAAAACTTTCTTTTCTCGCTGCTTCCAAGATATATTTTTTTTTTTTACTTTGCATTGAATCTTTTCTAAGAAACAATATGCACGAATTTATCAGAAGAGTGTGTCGGGGTTAAAAAAAGATGAATCGATTTGTGTACGTACATTACCCTTAGCGCACATACGCAGACACCCACACGTATATATTTGTCTGGGCAACACGCAGGAATATTTTTTCTTCTTTGTCTACCTGTGCATACCTATACTTATTCGCCTGTGCGCGTGTGCTTACCGACAAAGAAGCCAACGCGTAAGATGTAACTCGCATTTGCTATTTAGTAGTTTGCAATATGCACGTAAAAGCGGGTAGCTAGATCAGTGATTGCAACAGCGGGCAGCAGCTTCGATGGGACGGTTTCGCGTTTATCCCATTTCGTTTATTGGCACGGCGCGTCAAGGCTTTTTACGTTTGATTAAATCTAACCTACCTTGACAATTTCTGTTTCCTAGGGAACTAGCATTGTCTGTAAATCGGAGAAGAAATTTATTGTTTAGTTCTCGCGATGTTCAAGTCGATGAGCATACAGGTGTGTTTCGCATATGTTATACCACATCATATGACCCCCCCCGGTCTGGCGCATAGACACTGACACAGCATTTGGAGGAATCTGACGGCGACACAAGATGGCTGAAAACTTTGAAAAATATATAGGAATATCGATTAGCTCCTTGAATGTAAACATTGAAAAACAATCAAAATCGTCATCGACCGTCAGAGTGTTGCAATTTGATATTAAACACATACACACACCCACATGCACACACACACACACACATATATATATATATATATATATATATATATATATATATATATACATACATATATATATATATATATATATATATATATATATATATATATATATATATATATATATATATATATATTTATTTTATTAGCACCAGCACTCAATATGCGAAATATGCGTGTGTTTCATTAAGGATAGTGCTATTATGATATTTAATTTTTCTTGTGTTCGAACAAGTGTTTTCATTTCTGGACACAGAGTGTGTAGAAACTATTTTGTAATTCCGAGCGCTTTCTGCTATAGCCATTATCAAGGATGATTTTATTGTTGCTTTTTAATTGGGTGTATGGGTTGCGCGCATGTCTCTAGAGTTATAGTTATGTTTTATTTTCCGAACACAGTCAGCACATCGTGGCCGTGTTCTTAGTTAATATTATTGAATGCTGGCTTTTTCTTTTTTTTAAGGCTTCTATTATGTTTGTACATTTTCTGTCGTCTTTAACGATACATGCATAAATAAAGGATTACTGCCTATAGACACAATACACACACATATATATATATATGCTAGTGTGTGTGTGTAGTTATAAACGTCGTATACTTATAGCTAAACGTGCTCTATATCATAGATTGAGCCTATGTCGACACAGCCTGATGATTGCGTTCACGCATGAAACAATACGTTACCGCTCGATTTTGAAATCACTGTTACTTTTATATATATATATATATATATATAACTTTTAACTCTTTACATTACTCTTTGTCACTGTTTTGTCTTGCACACACATAAACTGGTCTAGTATGTCATCCATTTTTCTCAATCCTTTTCTTGACTGAGCGTGTTAAATTCTCTAAGTCCTCTCTCCTCATGAAATCTATAAATTTCAGCTCTCTCTTTCTGGTGGTAAGTATACGTTTCCTCGTAGTTGCGGTTTCCCTTAAGACTTTATCTTTCTTAATATTCTTAGCATTGGTCGGTAGAACTACATCGTTGCTGTCTGCAAAGGAATCCATTACTCCATACGTATGGAGGAATCGGATAGCCGATTTCAAATTCATAACATTGCTTCACTTGGGAAAATTATAAATTCATTCTTTCTCCCTTCACTTATGTGTAACTAATCAGATGTAACTGCCTATATCAATAAAATTGCTACTACATCATTTGCTGATTATAAATTTGCATAAACGAGTATTTTTTCACGTATACTTAATTAAGTGACCAGTGCATGTGTTTGCTTCTTCAAATTTGTTTATTTTACAGCTGCATAGAAGCTCAAGCGTGACATCAAAGATAAAACTTACTTAATCTACCATATCATCGCAACATATCAGACATATATATATATATATATATATATATATATATATATATATATATATATATATATATATATATATATGTATATATATATATATATATATATATATTAACTGAATTTTGATCTTAAATATCCACTGTATAATTTTAAGTCTATTTAATATTCCCCAGTGGATTAAGGACATTGACAAACAATGAGATGGTGTAAAATTTTTCCTCTAAAATAAATGTTTTCTGTGTGAATTGGCTACGAAATTTACCTATATCTCTCCCTCTCTCTCTCCCTATATATATATATATATGTGTGTGTGTGTGTGTGTGTGTGTGTGTTATAATCTGATTGTGTATGTATTGTCTTTTGCCAGACTTTATCCTGCCATATATTTCATCATCGCCCATATATTCACTTCATATGTATCTAAGTTGTAGCGGAGTCCAGAGCAACCTTAGATCGTAACCTTTACTCCAACTTAATCTCAATAAAAACAAAATAAATAACAAAACATATGTATTTTTTCCACAATTTCTTTTTTAAATAATTTTATAATTTTAAACTTAATATAGATTAAATTTAATATTTAAAATTGCTAATTTTTAATTTTGAATATTATTATTTAATATTAATTAGTTAGAATGAATTCTATTTTAGTCTAACCCTAACATTAAAGCATTGAATAATTATTATAACCAAGGTTCGTTGTCATGTTTTTTGAATTCTCATATATCCTAGTGACGAGTGTTTGATTGATTTCAACCTTTTAAAACCGTTTTATTCTACATTCAACACCATCACTTGATAAGACACCAGAAGTGTTGAAACAAAATGGCTATTTTGTAGTGATTTTATAACCTATTTATGTTTTAATTTTCGAATAAACAATTATATATAGATATATATATATATATATATATATATTGAGAGAGAGAGAAAGAGAGAGTGAGATTAAAAATTTAAAGAATAAAGAATGAAGAAGAAGAGAGAAAGATGAAAAAGTTAAAGAAAAAGAAAAAAGAAAAAGAGAAATTAGAATACTAGAGAGGACACAGCAAATCGTCCAGGCATAGCTTAAACCCAATTTCATGGAGGTAGAGTGGGTTGTCTGGAATCAGACGGCATTTTAAATGACATTGACCTATATTCTAAAATATTAACATCTAGATTCTGTAAGGAAAATTACTAAAATAAAAAAAATAAAAATTCGAATTTTTTTTTTTTTTTATTTTAATAAAAACCCTTTAAGGAATAGTAATTAAAAAGGTAACATCAAAAAAATAAAGAATAAATAATATACAAATACTAATACAAAATGCGACTAATCGGCCTCAAATTGACTGCTGACTTGAGATGGAACAAAATCATTGAGTCAATAGCTTTGTCCACCGCAAGGAAAGTTGACTCCCTATGCCGCGCCAGGAAATTTTTCTCGCCGGAGTCGATCCTTCAAATCTACAAATCAACCATTCGCTCTTGCATGGAGTATTGCTGCCATATATGGTCTGGTGCCTCTTATGTTTGTCTCAAGGTTCTTGATAAGATCCAGAGACGGTTATGCAATGTAATTGGCCCTGATCTGGCATCTCGTCTGCAGTCGCTCTCTCACAGACCTGCCGTCGCCTCCCTCTGTCTTTTTACAAATACTTTCATAGTAACTGCTCCGAGGAGCTGCATTCGCTGGTTCCCAGACTTCATGAATTTAAGCTTTCAACTAGGCTGGCATCTCGCTCACACCGTTTCACTGTCGAAACTCTTAAATGTCGCCGTCTCTTCTACTCCAATAGCTTCATGTCTCGCACTTCTCGTCTGTGGAACTCCCTCCCCATTTCCTGTTTCCCTGATAGCTATAAACTTCAACTATTCAAATGTAATGTCAATCGACGTCTCCAGATGCCCTGATCTATCCCCTAACCGTCTCTTCATCCTTTCCTCTATCGCTCCTATTTGCTCTCGATCCAAATCTCTGTAACCCTTTGAGTGCTAGTGGCTTCCTGCCTTCCTTGGGGTGAAACTCTTAAAAAAATTATAAAATAATTAGCTAAATAATTATTAAAGTCAAGTTTTCAAATAAAGTTAAATAAAAAATATAATATATTAAATATAAATTAACAATTATTAAATATAAACTAATAAATAAATAATATTTAAATAATATATAAGTGAATATAAATTAATTATTAAATATAAATTAAATCATCTGTTCGCAGTCTGTTTTATGTTTGAACATAGTCTTCCGCCCAAGTGTGTTGTCATGGCTCATCTACTTATATATAGAGCAACCTCGGTTTCGAACAGAATATTCTAGATAAAAATGCATCGGTTATCAAACAAAATTTCGGTTCTCGAACAACATAGCCGAACCGAGCCGAACCGAGTTAACCCGAATGGAATTATTTATTAGTCGACCGCCATCTTGTATACATTCTTGTGTTGTGCTTTGCTTTGCTTTTCCAATTTTATTGTACTGTGAGTTTTTTTCTCTTCATTAGTCATGGCTCCAAAGAAATCTAGCAGTGATACTGGTAAAGAAAAAAGAAAAGTTAAGAGAAAAACAATTGTTGATGATCTTGCCTCGTTTCTACTCAATTTCATATGGCAAAATCCACGATCTGTACTATTCTTATAAATAAAGAGACGATCATCTCTTTCTTTTCCCTTTTCCAAACAATAACATCTCTTTCCTTTCGTTTCCACTTACGCCATCAACTCTCATACATGCAGCTACGGTAAAATTGAAGTGTTTGTCTATATTTTATCTGTTTATTGGGTTTATTTATTTTTTCTTAGATTTAATGATTTTCATTAGTTTTGTGTATAAACTTGTGCACAAAGTACTGTTGTTAAAGTTTAAATAAACAATCATCATAGAACCAGGAACGGATGAATCCATTTTACATTGATTCCTATTGGAAAAAATAGTTTCGGATTAAGAATATTTCGGGTTACGAACGGGCTTCAGGAACGAATTAAATTCGTGAACCTATATTCCATTGTATACTGTTTAATTCTGCATTATAAGTAGCAAGGTCGATTGAATTATCTTAACTGTTATAGGGTGGGAAGTAACTGTTATATTTCAAATTATTCTAGAATTGTTGGCTAGTAATATTTGTGGATCCGAATGCGGTTATCTGAAGTTGTTTTATAGTGTAGTTTGTTAACTTTTTTTACTCATTATTTTTTATTGATGATTTTTTTTATTTGTTGTCAATTATTATTAT